GGTTATGCTTGGCATCGACTAGAGTCCACCTGGAAGAGTGCAACCTGCCCGACCGACGGTACACAAGGTGAGCGAAGCATACAGCACGGAATCGGAGTACCCCCTCCACAAGTCGGTCGTCCGGGCGACAGTGGGGAGTTGGGATCGACTCCTAAAAAGAGGGATTGCCACTCCTTCACAGCCCAATTGCGCTCAGCTTCTTGCAGGTGACGCGATTGGTAGAAGATGACGCGCTTTGTGCCATCTGTATCAAATTGCATCAACTCACAGCCGATCGCAAAATTGCTGGCGTCACATACCACATGGAATGTTCTGTCTTGATCTTCAATCGCCAGTATGGTCGATTAAATCAAGATCTGCTTGATAGCTTCAAAAATACGCTGACAGTCAGCGTTCCATGACCACCTCACATTTTTCTTGAGTAGACAAGAAAGATGCACAGTCATCTCGGCGTAGTTGCGCGAGTATTTGTGCAAGTTCGCCGCTAGTCCAAGGAACTTCCGCTTTCCCTTGACATCAACTGAAACGGGCCAGTAAGTGATCGCCGAAATCTTTTCGGGATCAGGGCGCACACCGCGTTTACCCACGATGCACCCAAGAAGTGGTATTTCGCTAGCCGTGAATGTACACTTCTTGAGGTTTGCGTACAACTTATGCTTGAGCATAAGTTGAAGAACCTGACGAACGTGTGTTCTGTGAATTTCGACGTCCATATTCCCGTCTACATCCTGGATATGGACGAACACATCATCAAAATAACTTGGGGCGAAATCGCGGACCGGTCTCAACATATTTGTAGCACATCTGCTAAATGTTGCAGGGGCGTTACTCAGCCCATGTGGGATCTCTTACAGCATAATGCCGGGGGTACTCACTGCCGTAAACGGGATGTCCCGTTCACGCATGAGGATCTGATAGAATACATCCACCAGATCCATGGACGAAAAGATAGTACTCTTTGACATACCATATATGATTACGTCCTTCCTCGGTATCGGCGTCTGAGCCGGTACCGTTGCAGCATTCAACTTGTTGAATGCGTGCACTATCCGTAACCCTCCTGTGACCCTTCGCACACATAAGGTCGGAGAGCTGTGAGGGGATGTCGATTCCCTCACATGGCCCGCTGCTAAGCGATCGGCAAAGAACTTGCCGATCGCTAGTACTTGTTCACGAGGCAGTGGCCACTGATTCATGACACAGTACTTCGAGCCCGGTTTGAGATCGATCTCGTGTCGAGTGCCTTTGTCCTTAGGCAACTCGCAAGGTACGGATTCATGGAACACGTCCTTGAACTCGATAAAATCCTTGTACAAAGGATTTGCCTGAAGTGACTCCCAGGATTATGACGCGTATCGCTCAATCCGAGTCTTCTCACCGAGGACACTTTCGTCCATCGATGAGCTGCTGAGAACCCGTTCGTTCTCAGCAAATACTGTCGCCGACCGAATATCGGCCACATACTCGTCCTCTGTGACGAGTATGCAGATCTGCTTGACTTTGCCACTACGCAGATCACGCAGGAACCGTTTCGATTCTAGCGTTGGCAACTGATTTATCTCCGAAGTTAACTTTAGAGGCACAATCAGATCAAGCGTGTAAGCGCCTACACTTGATCCGTCATTGATCAAGACGTTCAGTGTCTCGGTTTCTTCTTGGGAACTTGATTTCACAGCTTGTTGAGAGCCTGTTCTCTCAACGTGTAACTCGAGAGGAAGTCCTTCCTCTAATACGTGGGGACTTATTCCCTCTACGCCTTCTGACTGTGGCTGTGCAACCGCAGTCAGGCACCGATCCTCTACGGTCGACTCTCCAGTCAACCATGGATGTCCAAGTTGCCCTTTGAAGGCAACAGGTTTCTTTGTCTAAGATGCTGCCCGCTAGGCATGCATCCATGTCCCGGTCCACTCGGCTTATTCGAGTGGTGGACCTTCGGCGCAGCCTGTACTTCTGTACAGCCGCCGGGAGCTTGCTCCACAGTGTAGTGATCAACTACACTGTGATCTTGTGCAGTCGTGCTAACGACCGAACCGCAAGTGAGGCCATCGAACTCACTCGCAGAACATCCACACGCTTGTGGACGCTCCAAGACGTTCATCAGATGTCCATCTGATGAACAAGTGACAGGCATCCTCACGGATCGATGCTGCCAGCTCCACTCTTGGCTCGTACTTTCTGAGCCAAGGCAATCCCAGGATGACATCGAATTTGTCATCCAGATCTAGTACGATGAAATCATCATCGTACTGTTCATCCTCTCACGTGTAGTGTATTACTACTACACGTTTCTTAACGTTTATCGATGCGCCTATGGCAAGGCATATTGTCATCCTCGTTAGGGAAATGTCGCGCTCAGCGAGCTTGAGTCTACGCTCCTCCAGTGACTGGAGACGAATAAAGTTGTTGGACGCCCCGCAGTCAACTAGAACACGAAGTGACAAATCATTTGTCGCTTCCAACTTCAAGGTTATGAGTGATATATCATCACCAGGTGCAGAGACACATAGTGACTGTGTATCTGGAGCAACTTTCGTCAAGAGATTTGCAAATTCTCTTGAGGTTGCTGGATCTGTAGGGCGCTCCTCCCCTACTAACCCCGATCATTATTTGATGGTCCGCTTCGCTGTTGCGACCTTCGCAACAGCGTTGGACCTACGCCCATCGCCCCTTTTGGCAAATGGCCGATCATTTCGCTTAATACTGTTTGGTACTGGGCGTGGGTCAATACACTCGTAAGCGTAGTGTCCTAACTTCTGACAGCGATTGCACTTCTGCAATCGCTTGTTGTTTGAAGAGCGAGGTAGCTCGCTCTCGATATAACATAGACCCATTGGTTCTGGACCTCCCGTCTCATGTCGTCTCGTTGGGCGATAAGAGATCGAGCTAGCATGAGCCTGTCTCATTCTAAAGCTCTCCTATTCCGTAGCTGCTATTGCTTGTTCAAGCGTATCCAACTCTTAGCGGAACAGGTGGTTCCTAACGGGGACATCTGCGAGCCCTTGCATGAACACCGTAATCAACGTGTGTTCACTTACCGAGTTAGCAGTTATACAACTCGCGAGGAGTCGTATATGTTGAGCGTAAGCGTGCACATCACGCTTACCCAGATTGAGTTTCAGGAGCTATGATCGAGCTCTGATCGAGCCCTAAAGTCAGCCCGTGGCGGTTCAAAAGTCCGTTTGAGTCGGGTCTTCAAGGCTTCTAGCGACTGAAAAGCATATGTGTCGCTCATCTCGATCCCAAAGGCCGAAGTCTTGGCACGTCCTGTCAAGTGGTTTTGCGCAAATGTGAGTTCCATTTGCTCATCGTCGATACGACGTGCCGTTATGGCTCTGTCGGAGTTTGACAAACCACAAAAATAGGGAGTCTTCCTCGGCTTCTCTGTACTTAAAGATGCCAATCTTCCAGATTTTGGGACGACGAGTGTATGTCGTCCCACCCACAGCAGCATTGAATTGCTGCTGTTTCAACAGCTCTTGCTGTTAAGCACTGAGTCGTCTCAACTGCTTAAGCCTGTTGAGAGCCTTGCTGGTAAAGCAAGGCTACTTTCTCTTTCGGCGCCAAGTTCATGTTGAATGAACCGGGCTACAGCGGCATGTTGTTGGTCTCTGTCACGAGACTTCAACATGGCGCTAATGGCGAACTCGCCTACGGTAGAACTCATACGTCGTAGCGCACTCCATTCGATGTCACTCAAATGGTTATAACCTTCACGCGTGGCGTGATAGCTTTCCTCTTCGTCCAACATGTTCATCTAAAATGAGGTAGTCGTGGTCGCTGAACACACTACAAAGTGCTACCAGGTATAACGGGGAACGCTCGTATCAGATGACTGGTAACACCTTGTGTTAACAGAACACAAGGATGCGTACTCCCGACGTCACGTACACGTGGCGTGAGGAAGCGCGAGGAAGTATACAGAGCGAGAAAGCTCTGTCTAAGGGAAAAAGTAGAATTGTATTTGATGTAGTTATGTCTCTTTAATCAATCATCTTTGTCTTGATCTAACTATATTAAACTACAACCTTCTCTGTGGGTTTCTTGATCACCACCCATCGGGCGTCCAACAGCGACTGGTGGTTAATCTCGTTGATGTACCGTGAACATCAACCATCAGGTAGAGCAACCCATCAACTAAATATTACCCTCGGGGGTAATATTCCGTCAACCTTACTCCTTACGAGTAATGTCAATTGAATATTATCTAAATAGATACTACTAAAAAAATGATGCATCCATATCAATTTTCTATGTAACGGGCTCACCGCGTTACAGTTTCGCCCCCCCCCGCTGGGGGCCTCTTCAGCGGCTTCATCAATCTAGAAGTGAGATCTTTCTCTATCCTGCGCTCAACGACTAACAACCTTCTAGAACTTAGTGTACCAACACAAATCACCCATCATAACTACCAAACAGGGCAGCTGGGGCGTCGTCGACCAGGAAGGGGGGTGTCCGCTACGACATCTCCACTTCCAACACACTTGTGGATCAACGTCAGCGAAGATGTACAAATCGGACTTGACGTAAAACGGCCGTCCTAGCGACACCTCACTTGAGCTTACGTGCGGGCGCACGACTAGTGTCGAAGCGTGATTTCGCCTACAAATGTGAACAACCGATCTTTCTTGTCCTGACTGTTGCCGTCTGTGTAAAAAAACCTCGCTGCATCAGCCTGACAGTTACCAAAAAGAAGACCGGCTTGTAATATGGAGAGAGCTCGAATTTTGCTCTGGTCCAGCATGAACTCGCTGTGGGTTCGAAATTGCGCCGAGCTTCTGTCCGCTTCCGACCGTCGCTCGTCGCCCCGTTTGCAACCCGTGCGCAAAAAGCTGCATAGCTACATGAGCCAAACCTGAGTCATAGCGTGGGACCAAATCGTGCCACACAGGCACACAGACTGAACGAAGAAATACACACCATCGATCGTCTTCGCTCTGGTTCCGACCGTCGGTCATTCCCGACGCACAATCCATTCCCCACACGAAAGCCAGACGGACCCCATGGACGCGCACGAGCGGCAGTGTCTCGTCGCGAAGGACAGCGACGACGAGGACGGACCACGCGGCCTGCGGACTGCATTCGTGACCACAACAGTCCGTTCGCCCACGCGACGCGGCAGCTGTCCTCGCGCCTACGCGTCGCTGCGTAGCGACGTCTGGACGCTGCTGCACTACCGCACGTCGCTCAAAGAGCGCTCGGGACTGCACCGCGCGTCGTACCCTCTTGGAAATCGGCGTACTGGTACTGATCACACTGAATGTTGCGCTGGCCATGTACGTGTCGGCGTCTCCGCTCGGCCCTGCGAGTACGTTGACTGGTCACGTACGCACGTGGAGCTCCTCGAGCAGCAGACGTAGCAGAACAATAGGAGACGTGGAGACAATGCGATGCGTCGAGCGTACGACTGACGACTGACGGACGGACTCGTTGTGCTACAAAACAGTGACGTCGTCCGATTGGTACGTGCTTTTTCTGTACGTGTCGATTTGGGCTATTCACGGTCGAGTACATGCTCCGTCTCTGGTCGTGTGTTGAGGACGACCGGTATACGCATCCAGTGTGCGGCAGGTACGGAAAAGGAAAAGAGCCACATGTGTTTGCTGCCGTCTCTGCGATTTCCGACAGTGTCGTTGTAGGCCTGGGCGGATGAGTCGGCCAATGTCGATCATCGACCTCGTGGTGCTCATTCCATTTTATCTGAGATTTTGCTCGAGCATCAGTACGTGGAGATAGCGGGATGGCAAGACGAGACAAGGGGTAGATGTCTACGGTCTGTGTGTGGGCGTGTGGAAAGCTGTTCAATGTGGTGACCGCGCAGGGGAGCAGTGTCGTCGCGTGGTGTCTTGACACTGCGAGGCTTTCGGCTCTTGCGTATCATGTCCTTCTTGCACTGAACGCTCCTACCAGGCGATGAAAGATTTACGCAGATTTTCTCGCGCCAAGGTCAAAGAGCTGAGTGTTATTGCCACACACCATTAGTCATTAAGCGACTTTATCTACTTGTCATAAGTGAATGGCGACGCAAACGGGTGCCAGTATGATGTACAGATGGACAATGCCGGTGTCGATTTTCAGGGGCTTTTTCCTTGAAAATCCAGCTCAGCCCAAGGTGTTCTCGAGCATCGGTACGTGCTCTTGGTGGGCCATCGAGACCATCACGTCTTTAGGATATGGCGACATCGTGCCGACCACTGCTGCGGGTCGAGCTTTCCTCGTCTCTACTCGCGCTCTGGGGCATCATTTTGTTCACAATACCTGGTGAGATATTCAGTGCTCAATTTGTGACAGGGATGGTCTCATGAGACGTGATGTCATTTGTCGTTTCAGGTGCTATCTCGGAAGTGGCTTTATCGAAGTTATGCTGAAGAAACAGGAAAAGAAGAGCGAGCAAGCGATGGAAGAGTCGATCCAAATGTCGCTGACAAGGGCGTTCAGTAGCTCGGCGTTTACAGGTACGCTTGGAGCCAACCGAGACAGGCCAAACTGTGCGCCAGATAGGCTGACGTTTTTGCAATTGTATTCATCGGGAGTAGACTTTGGAATCGCCAGGGACAACACATACGATTTCATTTCCGGCGTCGGCGCTACCAACGCCTCACGAGCCCCCTCTCCGTTTTCGTCCCCTGCTCTTCCAATCATACGCCTTCAAGAACAAGTTAACCGGCTCACTACCACGCAGGTTGGTCGCCTAATGTTGAACTGATTGTCGGGCTTGCCACATTGTTACACTATTTTTCCCGGTCATGCCGGTAACATAGCTTCAGCTCCAAGTGCAGCTGAGTCGCCAGGAAATGCAATTGCTGACGATCACAAAGCTGTTGACGGATATGC